CGAAGCCATCAATAGCCCAAACAAAGCCTTCATTGGAATAGAAAAAAAAAAAGGCATTTATGAGGCTTTGCTTCCATCTGTGAGAAAATTGTCTTAATATACCAATTTTGTTAAGGCAACACGCTTTTCTGCCATCTGTCACAAAAGTGTCACAATAAACATACAAATCTGTGTGTGTGCAGCTTCATGCCTGCCCCCCACGCAGCAGCCCTGCTGAAAGAAACTCCCTCTCTGGTTCTCTGTCCCTCCCAGGAAATGAAGAATAAACCCAGGAATCAGGAGACTCCACAGTTAGCTCTGTGACTTGGGACCCATTTCGCAGCCTTTGAAGCATTTTTCTTCATTTTTAAATTTTTATCTTCCACAGTGCACAGAATGCTAAGCGAGGGCCTCATGCATGCTAAGCAAGAAATTTATCACTCAGCTACATCTTCGGCTCATCTCTTCTCATCTTTAGGTCACCAAATTGACCTAATAAAGTCTGCTTGCAAGGAAGCTGAGGATTCAATGAGCCAGTGTGCAAAGCTATTACCACTAGGCACAAAGTAAAGGCTAGCTGAATCGAAATGCTAAAGAATCAGGGCCCGGGAGATAGCTCAGTTGAATAAGTGCTTTCCTGGCCAGCACTAAGGGCCTGAGTTCAATTCCCAGGGGAAAAAAAAAAAAAAAAAGAGGAATCACTAATTTCAGGGGCCAGGGAGATAGCTCAGTGGAATAAGTGCTTGCCTGGCAAGCATAAGGTCCTGAGTTCAATCTCTGGTACCCCCATCAAAAAAAAAAAAATTCCTAATTTCAGACCAGGCCTCAGATCAGTATTTTCAATGTTATTTTTTTATGTAGCACAGATACTTGCTAACAGCTTCAAAATAAGAATAATACAAAAAAAATTGTTCCTGAGATTGCTATTGAGATTTTGCTGCAATATATTTCTTTTTCTAGTGGGAATCGGAAATATGCAAAAATAAAATAAAGCAAAAAATAAAAAGAGGAAGGACAATATGGGAGCTTTTTAAAAGTAACTCAAATATATGAAAGAGTTCACATGATAGGGAACATCATGTATATGGAAACCCTTCGATTCTTCCACTTACCTTGGAATACATGAAAGAACCCCCATGAGAGAGAAATAATGTGAATAATGTGAGAAAGTATCGTGAGAAGCCCACAGCATCGGAAAAGGAAAAATTCATGCGTTAGTATAAATACAAAACATGAGAAATTTTCATTTTCAAGCTATTTTGGATAAAACATGGCATTGCACGCTGGAGAAATTCATACCAATGTTTATTATGCATGAGCACCTGTAGTGATTCTGTTTTAATTCATGTATCGAATAAATGGTATTGTGAGAAACAAAACAAAACAAAAAGATGAAAGAATCATTAAAGAGTCCACAGATTACAAGGGGAAGCTAGCAAATGTGAAAGCAAAACATAGAAATGACATGTTTTCCCACGTAGAATGCAATTAGTTCAAGTTGCAGTAAAATTAAATGAATGTACAATGAAACCTAAACAAGCGTTCTTCTTTAATCAGCATACTGAAAATTACAGTGTAAAGGTCATTTTTAGTCTGCAATCAGACAAAAGAATTTCATTCATAATGAGGAAGACAATTCAACCTTTTCATAAAATTAGTAAAATATCTCAAAGCTGTGTAGTGGGAAATTTAGCTTGTTTGTATACAGTCTATTTCACTAAAATATAAGTTATGTAGTGAGCTAAAGAAATGAAATTTTAATGTAGTTCAATGAATATAAAAGGAAAATAACATTTCTTAGATAAATTATTTAGATTCATGAAAAAATTAGCTTAAGTGCTTGAAAATTATATACTAAATTCAGAGTTTAAACATATATTTATCCAAATATATGAAAAAAATCTATTTTGGAAGAAGAGCAGAATACTCTCATTTTCTTTTGCTTTGTTTTTTATTTTTTTAATTTTTTTGGTGGAATCGGGGATTGAACTCAGGCCCTTGCGCTTGCCAGGGAAGCACTTATTCCACTGAGCCATCTCCCTGGCCCCTTTATTTTTTATTTTTTAAACTGCTATGAAAATTTTATTTTTTAAAGAGTAATTTACAAAAAGAATGCTTAGCTTATTTAAGGATTATGTTCTTATAAATAAAGTTACAGTGGCTCAATCCTCTAAAAGACAATACATCCTCCTGAGATAACCAAAGACTTCTCGGAATCAGGACTTCTTCGATGCTTCAATTTCATCCCATATGGCAGCCTCCATTTTTGAAGTATCGTACTCCCTTATCATGTCATACTCAAGCCACGGCTGACTCCACTTCTGAGCTTCCTCCATTTGTTCTTCAGTTAAACACAGATCAAATCAGATTCCTTGAATATTAAAATACAGGCACTACCAAAGATTGGACCAAGGCTTAGGCTTCATTGTTACTTTTATCTTATAAACAGGAACTTTGTCAACCTCTGGTGCCACCGGCTTCACATTCACATCGAAAGTGCTGTACTCAGGGAGCCCATCTCATAAGTACAACAAACCTTCTTTAATTTGACCACGTGGATCTCATGGATTATATTGATCAAAGCAAATCTCAACACATTATCTTTTTTTTTTTTTTTTTTTTTTTTGGCAGAACCGGGGATTGAACTCAGGCACCTGCGCTTACTAGGAAAGTGCTTATTCCACTGAGCCATCTCCCCAGCCCCACCTTGTCTTTCAATAGTATTCCTAAGAGTACAAGTAGTTCTGAGTCCACTTCCTGACCTCTGGATGCAAATTCCCAGAAACTGGCTAATTTTTTCCTTGGGCGTAAGAGTCGGCTGCAGTGACATGTAGTATGTTTCCAACATAGAACTCTGGAATGTGGAGTACTTTTTCCTTTCTAACATATCTTTTCTTTCTATTTGAAATTTTAGAGGATCAGTTCTTCCTCTTGGAGGAATGAATTCAGGACTCAAGAATCTCTCCTCGCTCGGAGCTTGGCGTTTGTCCGTCATGACCGGTTTCTACTGTAGCCAGAAGGCCAGGCTCGGAAGGCCCATTGCTCTGCTGCTGGGCTGGCCGAGCTGACCCAGCGAGCGACAGAGGCCAGCCCAGCCCAGGAAGCAGCACTCTAGACGCTGGGAAGCTCAGGGCCGAGCCCATAGTGCCCCCATGCCTCCCAATAGCGCAGGCTGCCATGCCAGTTCGTACAAGTTGAGATTACACCTCTGTTGTTTTTTTGTTTTTTTTTTTTTGAGACAAGATCTTGCTATGTAGTTCAGGCTGGGCTTCAGTTCACTATGTAGCCCAAGTTGGCCTTGAACTTTGACAATCCTCCTGACTTGGCCTCCCAAATGCTGGATTCGTGGGCATGCACCACCACACCCAGCAATACCCTCATTGTGTTTAAGAATTTGTTTTTCTCCTTAAATCTAGGGCCTCACCCTTGCTAGGCAGGTGCCATACCGCTGAGCAACATCCCCAGCCCTACATTTGTGTGCTGGTAGTAGGACCCAAGACCTTATGCTTGGGAGATAAATCTACCACTAACCTAAGTCCCCAGGCCAAAACATTTAAAAAATTAAAGACCCCAAAGTCTTATCTTCACCATCACAATGTATTTCTATTACTGAAAAGGAAGAACATAATCTATTATATCATTGAAACTGGGGGGGAGGAGAAAGAGAGAGAGAGGGAGGGAGGCAGAGGCAGAGACAGAGACAGAGACAGGGACAGACATGAGGGCTGAGGCAATACAGTCTATTTTAGGTCTCTTCTAGTATCACTAGAAGCAACTTGTATATCTATGGTATTATCTTGAACTGACCTAGAGATTCCTGTAATACCTTGAGCCCAGGGGCTTTATGAGTTGGAATCACAGATTAGAGAGGCTAGAGGAGCTTGAAATCTCCACAGCTAGAACTAGAGGTCGACCGTGGCACCATCCCTGGCCTACACTCCTGCTCCTTCACGTCTCTGCACCCCACTTTCCTTGTCTGGAAAAGGAGACAGTAGTATGAGCTGTACCTCTGGAAGTTGTTCTGAGGGCCTAATGAGTTCACCACCATAAAGTGCTCGGAACACTTTGTGGCTCAGGAAAAGAATAAATGTTGGTGGCCCTCTCTTTGCTGATCTCATTGCTGCTGTTCTTGCCTCTGTGTTCCATTCTTCTCATAGCAGCCAGAGTGATGATTTAAAGATTCAACTATTGAGGGCTGGTGGTGTAGCTCAGAGGACTAAGCGCTTGCTTAGGCAAGTGCAGGGGTCAGGGTTCAATCCCGGGCACCACATGCAGCACTGGTCCCACCCCTGGGCACACTGGGCTGGCCACTGAGTCTGGGCATGGTGGCCCACACCTGTAATCCCAGCACTAAGGAGGCAGAAATCAGGAGGAGGACTATGAGTCTGAGCTACATAGTGAGACCCTGCATAAAAAAAAAAAAGACAAAACCAAAATAAAGGTGTAACTATCTTATACAACCCTTCAATCCATAAGTATTCATGGATTGCTATGTTTGTTTTAAAAATATGCCCACAAATTACTTGATATTCTTCCCCTTCATGGAGTGGAACTTAATTCTTCCTTTGTATACAGATTGGACTTTGAAGGTTTTTTTGTTTGTTTGTTTGTTTTTTGGTGTTTTGGGGTTTGTTTGTTTTTTTTTGGAGGGTGGGGGATGTTTTATTTTCTGTGATGCTGGGGGCTTTTCACCGAGCTACATCTATAGGGTTTTTTTTATTTTTCATTTTATTTTTCATTATGTTCCTAAATTACCCAGATTGGGTTGGGACTTGAGATTCTCCTGCTTCAGCCTCATTGCAACTTTTTATTTTATTTTATTTTATTTATTTATGTGTGTGTGTGTGTGTGTGTGTGTGTGTGGCCAGCTCAGCCCACCAGGGGGCGGGGCTGGCTGGCATGTGGTGCTGGGGGATTGAATTGCTGTCCCTGTGCTTTGCTAAGCTTGTTCCAAGTAGGTGCTTTAGACCACTGAGCCATCTCACCAGCCCCCATTGCAACTTTTTAAAATAAATAAAATGGTGCTCACTTAAGCAGCACACATAAAAAACTGGATCAATTTAGAAAAAGTTAGCACAGCCTCTTCACAACGATGACATGCACATACATGAAGCATTTCATGTTTTAAAGGAAAAAAGAAAAAAGGAAGGGAGAAAAAGTATATATACATATGTATGTATATACACAAGATAGCTTGCATAATCGTACTTCTGATTTCTGCTGGTCTATTTAAAGGCCCAGCAAAAATAATGCTTAATTTTTTCTTGTTTTTAAATTTTTTAAAGTTTTTGACTAATTTTACATGCTTATATCTCATAATCTGAGCAACCAACTTGAAGACAATGATATGCAATGCAACAATCACTGTTGAATTCCTGTAATTTTGTTTAGTGAAATTCTGTATTGTTTCTATTTTATTTTTACTATTTTTTATTCAGTTTTAAAAATTAATAAATAAAATGAAGTGGATATGCTGGTGTGCAACTTAAAGTACTAGGTCTTCATATCTTCTTCTCTTTCTCTGATTATTTTTCCAACCACTGCGTTGCAGACAGCCCTATGGAGAAACTCACGTGGCAAGGGATTAGGGCCGTTGGCCAGCAGCCACAGAGGGCTCAGAAGAAGAGCCGCAGGCTCATTCAGGCCCTCAGGTGAGTGCAGCCCTGGCCCACATGGAGCCCACCTTTTTTGAAGACCGAATCACAACAACTTAGCTTAACCTTCCTGGATTCCTGATTCTAGAAACTATGATAGAATAAATGCACATTGTTTTGAGTCACTGCATTTTGGGAGTAATGTGTTCCACAGCAATAGAAAATAATAAAATCTTCTGCTGGTGCTAGGCGACGTGCCAGGCACCAGGAACACACAATGACAGAGCAGTTCCTGTCTACACCCTCAGGTGGCACTTCTAATCCAGCTGGGCTGGCACAATATGCACAAGTGAAGAAGTAAAGTTAAGTATGTAGGGAGTGGCTAAAGCTGGAAATTGGTCCTATGTGAGGGGACTGAACAAGGCCACAGTGCCTAAAGCAGTCAAGCTACCTCAGTCTTTTTTTTTTTTTTTTTTTGAACCAGGGATTGAACTCAGGCCACTGCGCTTGCCAGACAAGTGTTTATTCTACTGAGCTATGTCCCCAGCCCCAAGCTACCTCAGTCTTGAGAAAAACATCCTGCCTGGACAATTGCAGTCATTAGTTGCTAAACAATCTTGTGTCTCACAATACTAACTTGGCAAAAGTATAAATAAACATCCCTACTATTATTCAGTTCTTCTCCTCCCATGAGGAGAGAAGACAAGACCCCAAGCTTGTCTCTTAACTATATTTTCCTCATTCCCAAGAATTACCGAGAGCCCCAATGTGTTGGGACACAGATAACAAATAAATGCTCTAGACAAAGCAAGCTGGCTGTGGTGGTACACACCTCCAGTCCCGGAACCCTTAGAAACTGAGGCAGGAAGATCAGAAGTTTGAGCCCTGCCTGGGCAACTTAGTGACACTCAGTCTCAAAATGAAACAAAACAAAACTTAAAAAGGGGAAGCCAGTGTAGTTCAGTCTGAAAGCCCTGAGTTCAACTGCGGAAAAAAAAAAAAAAAGGAATAGTGGGAGTGCTGGGGAGGGTGGGGGAGAGGCACAACAGTGAGGTGAAGGGACACATTTTAGACAGGACACACCAGGTGAGAACTTCAAACAGATTTGAATGCTGTGGGGCAGACACCACAGCATTTTTCTACATATTACTGTATAGAAAAATAGTTAACAGTGGCGGTGGCTGTTTCCATGAAAATGAAGTAAGAAATGTAGTTATCCAAAGGCAGAAAAGGAGAAGCCAGGAGCAGGGTAGTGCATGCCTGTAATCCCAGCACTCAGGAGGCTGAGGTAGAAGGATCCCTGTGTGTTCAAGGCCAGCCTCATCTATACATGCGCTCAAGGTCCACCTGAACTGCATAACAAGTACTTCTTTCTTTCTTTCTTTCTTTCTTTCTTTCTTTCTTTCTTTCTTTTGTATTTTTTAGGGAAAGGTCTAGAGGGTGTTCATGGTCTCACTACTAGATTGGGCTCATACTGATCCACCTGTTTACAGCTTTCCAAGAGCTGGGATTACAGGCGCATGCCACCACACCCAGTCTGAATTGCCATCTCAGCGCGCCTCTGGGTGGCAGGCCCGAGAACTTGTTTCAAAAAAAAAAAAAAAAAGAACTTGTTCCAAAAAAAAAAAAAAGAAAAGAAAGAAAGAAAGACAGACAGACAGAAAAAGAAGGACAGAAAGAAAGAAAGAAAATTAAAAGAAAAGGTAAAGGCAGAAAAGAGCTTGAAACATTATTCCTGGAATAGCCCAAAGGCCAGCATGCCCAGGGAGGAGGGACAGGAGCATGTATGGTGTGGGGAAGGTCTTTGAGGAGCCAGGGAAACCATATGGCTTCCTTATCTGAACCACACAACACCAGCCACTGCACTGGGAATAACACCCAGGTTCTTTCCTGTGGGCTCCAGACCTGTGTGACCTCATCTTTTACTATGCTGTCCCCTCTCCAACCTCATCCTGGTACACTACCTTTGGCTAGTATTTATCAGCCCATCAAAACATCTTAGTGTGTGTGCGCCCGCACGCGTGCCAGGAAATGAACTCAGGACCTTGCGTTTGCCAGGCAGGCACTGTACCACTGAGCTATATCCCTGGCACCTCAAAACATCTTATTTGCTTGTATTCTTGACAGAGTTGAAGTAGACTGTCATGAAACCTCGTGGATGGAAAGTATGAAAGGACTGCCCTCCCTTAAGATGCTGGAAACAGCATCATAGGCTGACACACTGTACTGCAGTGGTCCCCAGTCTTTTGGGCATCAGAGACCAATTTCCTCAAAGGCAGTTTTTCCACAGGTCAGGGAGGAAGTGGCTTGAAATGATTCAAGCACATTACATTTATTGTGCATTTTATTTCTATTACAATTACATAGGAATATAGAGTGAAATGATTAAGCAGCTCAGCATAAAGGAGAGCAGTGGGAGCCCTAAGTTGATTTTTAGTTTTTTGTTGTTTTTTTGAGACAGGGTCACTATGTACGAGAGAGAGAGAGAGAGAGAGAGAGAGAGAGAGAGAGGAGAGATTACAAAAAATAGTAAAAACAAAGAAACAAAATAGAACCAAAAAAATGGAAATGATACAGAATTTCACTAAACAAAATGAAAGGAATTCAACAAGAGTTTTCATATTGCATATTGCTATCTTCAAATTAGTTGTTCAGATTACCAGATATAAGTGTGTAAAATTGCTAAAAAGTTTTAAAAGATAAAGAAAAACTTTAAGCATTAACTGCTCCTCACTATGTAATTCGGCTGGCCTTGAACTCACTGTGGAGCTCAGGCTTCCCTAAAACTCATAGCAATCCTCCTGCCTCAGCTTCCTGAGTGCCGAGATTGTTGGTGTGTGCCACCACTTCCAGTTCTGAGTTTGTTTTCCCATGACTAAACAGTTCTGTCAAAGTTGATGGGAGACAGTGACCCTCCAAGTGTATTTTTCTTCCTAGTCTGCTACACAACCTCGTTTTGGTTGCCATTGCCCACAAAATACTGTTTCATGAAGATATGATGTTGGAAATGAAAACAGGCTCTTTAGTGCCTTTGTAGCAACTCAAAATAGTCTACCTTGACTTTAATCCAGCATATATAAAGACTTGAAGTTGTCTCAAACATATTTTGAAGTTCACCATCACTTGCAACCTGAAGCAGTTGATCTTCTAGCATGAACAGAGCTGGGGCTGGCAAGATAGCTTAGCAGACTAGGCACCTGCTTAGGCAAGTGCAGGGACTGGTTTTGATCCCTGGTACTACATGCCCACCCCAGGGCACGCTGAGCCAGCCACTGAGAACAGGCGTGGTGGGGCAGGCCTGTAAGCTGGAGAGGCTAAAAACAGGAAATCACTATGAGTCCAAGCTGTGTAGTGCGACCCTGTACCAAATACATAAAAGAAAAAGAGAGATGAGGGTGAAGGAACAATGAACAGAGTTAACCCACCTGGTTTATTCACAAATATATGCAGAAAATGTATGTAAGTCCTGGTGGGAGGAGATAAGTGGCAAGCACAAGAACCCAAGTTTTTTTCCCCTGGTACCACATGCTGAGCCAGCCACCAAAACTGGGTGTGGTGGTGCACACCTATAATCCCAGTGCTGGGGAGGCTAAAACAGGAGGATCATTATGAGTCCAAGCTGCATAACAAGACCCTGTATCAAATACATAAATTTAAATAAAATAAAAAATAAAGTTCTCAGCTTTGTACCTGCCATTGATTGTGGATATTGTCATACAGCTAGTCATAGATATCATTGATATAAGATAATCACTATTATCTTATGGGCTAAGTAAAAAATAAACAGTCAGCTATAGTGATACACACCTGTAATTCCAGCACTCCAGGAGATTGAAAAGTATGAGCCCAGTCTGGGCGGCATAGTGACTCAGTGAGACACTGTCTCAATACAAAAAAGTACAAAAAGGGCTAGGGTTGGACTCAGGGTATTCAATCCCCAGTACCAGAAAGAAGTTGAGAGAGAGAAGGAGAGAGAGAAAAGAGAGAGAAAGAAAGAGAGAGAGAGAGAGAGAGAGAGAGAGAGAGAGACCATAGCAAATGAAACTTAACACAATGTCTTACAACTGGTACTGTCACATGCACAAATTTTTCATAACTGTGCCATGGTATAACATAATATATTTTCAAAAAAATTATACCATGGTCAATTACACTACTATGTACTGTTGTAGGTAGTATAATACCATGACACTATTATATAAAAAAAAAATGTTCAACATCATCATTGGTCATTTGAGAAATGTAAACCACACTGAGATTCTACCTCACCCCGAAAGAATGGCTATCATCAAGAAATCAACCAATAACAAATGCTGGAGGGGCTGTGGGGAAAAAGGAACGCTTCTCCACCGTTGGTGGGAGTACAGAGCAGTACAGCCCCTGTGGAAATCAGTGAGGAGAACCCCCAGAAAGCTAGGATTGGAAGCTCACTGACACAGCTATTTTCCTCCTGGGTATTTTCCCAAAAGAATTGAAAACATCATATCACAGTGATATATGTGCACCAATATTTCCAGCCGCAGAATTTGTCAC